AGCGCTAGCTCCTCCGCCCGCTACCGCGCCTGGCCCGTGCTCATTGGTCGGGCTGCGCGGCCCCCTCCGGCACCACCCAATCAGAGCCCAGGACTCCCGCCTGCTCCTGGAGGGGAGGGGCTGCCGCGGGCGGTGGCTCGGCAGGGGCACCTCCTCCTGCGGCGGGACTGGGCTGGTCACGCCCCCGTCACCCTGCTGCAGGCGCCTAGGGTTCCCGAACTCCCTCCAAGCCGTGGCATGGGCCCCTTAGCGAGGCTTAGAGGATACGGGCGCTTCCCCTGAAAAACCCATTGTGCCCCAACCATCTCGACCTGTCAGGGGCAAAGGCGCACGAACCCCCGTGGGTTGGGGGGAATGAGGCTCAGTGTGTATTAGGAGAGGGGCAAAGCGAGATGGTCAACAGGGGATGGGGCCCAGGCCGACGGCCAGTGAGAAAGACCTTGAATGGTAAACTGAGGAGTTTAGCCTTCCGCTGAGGGGGGTGGGGGTGAGGGTAAGGGAGACAGGAAGCGGTTTTAACAGAGTGCTGGGGTCATAATTAGGTTCTTGTTTGGGGAAGGACTGTGAGCAGGCGACAGGAATGGCCTAGCTGGAGCAGGGAGAATGGGGGGGACAAGAGGACATCCTGACCTTCACGATAGCTGTTTCTGGGGCCTCTGTCCCCCACCTCTTCGCTGGAGAGCTCATCAACTCTTTGTTCAGTTACATTCTCCACTGCGTGTCATCTGGCACCCACCCCACCACTTGCACCTCACTCCACCACTTGCACAAGACATAGCTTCGTATCACTCCCCCAAACCTCGCCTCTTGCCTCCCTGTCCCAATCTGGAGCCAGAAACCTGGGAGTCTTCACAGCCTACCCCTTTCCTGTTCCAAACAGTCAATCACCATGCCATGCCCCTGCTGCTTCTTAAATAGCCCTAGAATCCATCCACCTGTTTCCACTTATCTGCTTCTCCCCTTAGTTCAGTTACTATCTTCTTCACCTGAATTGCTGCAGCAGTCTCTTCATTAACCTCCCACCTCAATCCAGCCTCACCACCTCCCACCCTTACCCACTTGCTTTTCCTCACCTGACAGCCAGAGGAATATTTCAGAAACAAAAGTCCAGCTAGTCAGCTCCTGCTTAGGAATCTTCCATGACTCACCAGTATCCTGAGAATAGATCTAATCAGACCCTCCATGACCTGAGTCCTTACTACTTGCCTGACTCCTTTCAGGGCTTGGTTCAGTGCCCCTTCTGCCAGAAACCTTTCTGTATGATCATCTCACTGCCTAGTGTGGGTTAGCAACACATGACCCTTGTGACATCAATCAACTAAATCTTGTACTCTGTCAGCCTTTGCCACAATTCTATGATGTGTACATTGCCCAAGCCCCTTCATGAATATGCGTGTACCCTTACCTTAAAACCTCTCCAATTTTGCTGTTCAGGGAGATACTGCTTTAGGAAAGATCCTCAGTATTCTCCTTATATACTGCAAGTAATAAGTCCCTCCTCCTACTCTTTGACTTGGTTGTGTCTTTTGGCTCGACACCCACCAAGAAGTGAATCCAGGGAGAGGGTATATCTCAAGACTTAGCATGTACAAGGCCCTGGGTTCAATCTCCAGTACCTCCTCTAAGAATAAATAAACATAATAACCTCCCCCTCCAAAAAAAAGAAGAAGAAGAAGTAGAAGACATGAACCCAGTTTTTGGGTAACAGTACATCAGCTTTGTTCCACAAAGACCTCCCAGGTGGCTCTTTCCACTCACTGCTCCAGTAACCTCTGGATTTGACTCTTGTCCTCAGGGCTCAGGATGTGACTAGAGCTCCAGCCATCACATATGCATTCCAGGCAGTGGGATGGAGACAAAGCTGAACAGGGCAAAGGATCTGTACCAGCTGTCTTTTAAGGAAAGTTCCCAGAAGGTGTCACATGATACTTCCACGTACATCTTATTAGCCATAACTTAGTCACATGACCAGCTATAAGAGGAGGCTGGGAAATGCAGCTTCCATTCTAGGCAGCCACATACCCAGCCAAGAACCAAAGATCATATCACTGTAGAGAGAATAGCTATCCAGGGATAGCTAGCTGACTCCACCATTAAAAGAGAGGATAGATGGCAGGGCAGAGCACTATTCTGTGCCAGGCTCCAAGGTAGGCACTTTACATATCTTATCTTACCCCAACCTGAGTAGAGGCTATTATTATCCCTGACTCTCAGAGGAGGCTTAGAGAGTTAAGCAACTTGCCCAAGGACACATAGTGACTCATGGCAGAGCTGCAATCGAAAATTCTTTTCCCTACACACCAGCCTGGCTGGGAAATCAGGAGAGGGTGGGTCTAGGCGCCGCTGGAAGGAAATCTTCCAACAAAGGAGGGTTCGGTCAACACTGTCAGAGGCTGACAGGCCAAGCAGGATACGGGCTAAAGTGTCTGCTTGGATTTGGCAACCAGGCGCTGCTGGTAACCTTGGCAAGGGCATCTGGAAGTATGGTTAGGGGCTGGAGGCCAACTGTAGAGGGTGGGTTGCAGCGGGAAGACTGGTCTTTCTGGAATGGTGGCAGTGAAGGGAGAGTGGGCAGAGCTGCAGGGGAACGTGGGCTAGGAGGAGGCAGAAGAAGGGAGCAGATGCCAGAATGGGAGAGAGGAGAGGCGGCCTCTGCTGGGAGGTCTCTGGGCCGGGTAAGGGTTGGATGCCAAGGAGGAATCCTCTGCTCCTTCTGGAAGGAAGGGGACGGGAGGTGCAAAAGCAGGTAGGTGTGGAGAAGAAAGGAAGGAAAGAAGAGGCAGTTCTTGTCTTGTAAAATCTGCAGGATGGTTCTTGGCTGGGGAAGAGGCGAGAAGGACAGGGCCTGAGGGAGAGGGGAAGGGCTATCTTGTGCCATCCAGTATGGTAGCCACTAGCCACACATGGTGATTGAAATTAATTAGAAGTGAATAAAATTAAGAATTCAGTTCCTCAGTTGTCTGAGCCACATTCTAAATACCTAATGGCCCCATGTGAATACTACATTGAGCAGCACACACAGAGAACGTTCCGTCATTGCTGTTGGACAACACTGGTCTAGACGAAGCCTGGTGATGGGGGTGCCCAAAACCCCTTCCAGGCTGTAAGTCCAGACTGCAGGTCATGCCCACAACAGGGTGCCTGGAGAATCGTTCCACACAGTCTCCATTCAAGACCCTCCCCTTTGGGATTCCGTCAGATCACTCTCCTGGGACAGACAGCCCCTTCCTTATCCCTGCTGTCATGAGGCCGGTCCTGGGATCTCTGCTTGTCCCAGTGCCTGGCTTTTCAAAGCCATAGGAGCGGTGTGTGGAGGATTGGGAAGAGCTCCAACGTTCGGGCTGTGCCAGGACAGCGGCCCATGGCTAGAGATGAGCTGACCCCCTGCCACAATCCCTTTGCTGGGCTCAGGGCATAAGTGTAGGCTAACCACCTCCCATGGAGAGATCCAGAAGGACCTGGAAGATGGCTCAGTTTGGCCCCGCATTTCACAGATGGGAATGCTGAATTTCAGAGAGGGCTGGGAAGAAAGGGCAGAAGGCAGAGATTTGAACTTATTCATCTTCTTTTTATTATACGCCACCCCTTGATTTCCCAGACCTTGTGTTCAGACAGAGCCGGGCAGGCCTTGGGAACTGGCACTGGGTCACAGGAAGGGAGCCCCAGATTCAGCTAAGGCTCCCACCCTGACCGGAGGTAACTGAGTCAGAACTCATCACTAGAAGGGACTGTCCTGGCCTGACACACTCGGGGAGAAGCACATCCCCATGGGGGTGATGTGGCGTGGACCTTGAGTCTGTGTCTGGGGGTGTGGGTGTGCTCAGATGGTTGTGTTTGCAGGACCCAAGCTGTTCAAACACACAGTGGATGGGAGGGGATGTGTGTATGCAGGTGCCTGTGCACATGAGGGGCATGAGTGAGACACCATGTGGCTTGTGAGCACACAGGTGACGCAGGCCCCAGCTAAGTCTGATACCTGATCAGGAGCAGTTCTAAAATTTAAGTCCTGAAAATGACCTGAAGGATTTGTTATCCTTGCCGACCATGTGACCAGCCCTGGAGATTCTGGTTCGGGAGGTCTGGGGTGGACCCTCT